CTCACAATTCACAGCTTCAAGCCCAAATTTCTGTTGGAGCTCCAACCATCATCTACACAAGCACTGAGCAAAGAAACACCCACAACGGCCAAAGTCGAGTGGTTCCCACGTTTGATCATTTTGTTTCACACCTGTGTCTCCTTCCAGTCTAGCCTCAGTTTCCAGTCATAGGTTTGCAATGTATTTTTGTTTCTTGATTAATCTGGTCACTTTTCAATCAAAACACCTGCTCATGTAAACGTTTGTATTTTAAGTTTTTGCACAATGGTTTGTTTACTAAACTTTTAATTAACCTTTGCCTACTTTATTTATGCCTTTGGAGATCACCTTATGTACTGCTTATAAGAATTTCCCACACTGAAATTGGAAACAAAGTAGTCTACATCCCAACTAACTTTTTTTTTTTTCCTCTGAGAAACGCTAAGGCATTGCCTTATGTAGAGCTATACAGCACCACGCTGGGAACCTGCCATTAACTGTTTCACTACCAAATCACATTCGGTGCCACAGTACTCCAGCTCCTCGTTCTGTACACGTGACCTAAACCCTCCTGTTCTAGGAAACGCTTGCGTGGACCAGGGAACAACATGAATCCCTTTGTGACATGCTTACCCACTTTTCTACGCTTCATGTCACTTCACCACTTCATATACCTAATAACCTAAAGCTTCCCCCCCCCGCCCACCATTCTATAAATAGGGAAACATTGCTTTTTTACCCAACTTAAGTTTGGGGTAAATCAACCATTAATCCATTTCTGACTGGTTTAGCTTTGAGCTGGTTTCTTTCAAATATGTTTTGGTTTTTTTTTTTCAATTAGTCCTACATGAAAAAGCCCTTCAAGCAGTCTAAGTGTTTGCCAGCTTTGCTTTTGTTCCTCTCACCCTCCTCCTCCAGAAGTGTTTTCCTATATGGGGGATATATTTGATGGCTGAGGGTGCGTTTTTGCTCTAGGTGGTTTGCTGGGTTTGAAAATTGGCTCCCACCGGCTTTTCAGCGCAAACTGCCGATTCGCACATTGCAAGAGGCAATTTTTTTCCCCAAGCCAACGTTAAAAAGCGAGCGCAGGGCAGAGGGCCCCTAAGCACGGGCCAGCAGGCAGCCCCTTCAGCCGAGCCCGGCTCCGAGGGCCCACGCACGGCTCTCCCCGCCGCCCCCCAGCCCCTTACCTCCCGGTACTCCCCGTTGCGGAATATCCTGTAGCCGTCGGGCGGGTGGATCTGCACCGTGGTCTCGCTGATCACCTCGATGCAGC